CAGCTTTAACTTTTGCATCTTAACTCTATTTTATGGGAGGGAAAATAAGAGACAGTGGAAAGAAAGAACACTGGCTCTGGAAACAGGAGTTGGGTTCACGTCCCATCTCTGATGATTATTAACTATGTGACCTTGGGTAAATTCATTTAAGTTCCATTAACCTCAGTTTCCTCATATAAAAATGAGGAAGCTGGATTAGCCCACCTCAGGAGTCCCTTCTCACTACAGCTCTCGGACCTATGAATCTAGAGAGGAGTGTCTGGGTGAATTACAGATCTATTAAAGGTCTGCAATCCAATCAAGTATTTAATGAGTACCAGAGGAGCGCAGAAGTAGTCTAAGACCCTGACTGGGAGAACTAAAATTTACACACATGAAAGAACAGAAAATAAAACAATATATAACTAAGGTGCTGGATGTTAGGATACAGATAAGAGGCCCAAGGAGCTGAGATGAAAGGGAGATAGATCAATCATAGGTAGAATAGTTAAGGAAGGCTTCATAAATGAGGTGGGCCTTGAGCTAGGCCCTCAAGGAGGGGTAGGATTTGGAGAGGTATAAAAGTTAATTCCAGGTGGGGAAAACAGCATGAATGGAGTCAGGGACCTGAACGTGAATGGGATGTTTGCAGAACAGTGAAAAAACTGGCTTTATTAAAAAGGGCTAAGGGCATGTGGCCTCATGCTCAGCAGCATAGCAGATATAAAGATGCAACGTAACAGTCCTTGCCCTCAAGCAACTTATGGTCTGCTAAGAAAATACACATAATACAAAGTACAGTGTGATAGAGATAAATAATCAAGATCAATAGGAATCTTTGAGGAAAGAATAATTTCAGCTAGAGGTATCAGAGAGGAGGCAGCGACTGAACTGAACCCTGAAAAAAGGAGGTCAGCAGGTGGGGGGAAGGCGGGCTCAGATGCATGGAAAAAGAAGGAAACAGATCAATACAAAGAAAAACTAGTAACCTAGTCCAGCTATTATAGACTATGTGAAAAGAAGTAATATGAAAGAAGGCTAGAATAGAAAGGTAGGATAAAGAGTGTGCATTTCATCTCACAGGTAATTGGGAAGCATTAAAGATTTTTCAGCAAAGGACTGAGACAGTCAGAATTGTGCACTGGGAAGATTTTTCACAGCTTTATGGAAGGACAGCCTGGACACAGGGAGGTCAGTTGTTATAACAGTCCTGAAGAGAGATGATGAACCACTGGACTATGCCCGGGGGGGGGGGGGGGGGGGGGAAGGGCAGGGCACATGTAAGGAACGGTGTTCAGTTGGGAGCCCTGAAAAGCGGCTAGAGCATCCAGAAATGACAGACCAGGAGACCATGGTGCATGAGGAGCAGTTAAAGAAACCAGGTACGTTTAGCCTAAAGATGAGAAAACTTACGGGGAGACATGGTAGCTGTCATGTGGAAAAGGGATTAGATTTGTTCTGTTTGTACATTTCGGAAAGGGTTTGAAATACATAATCTAACTTGATCGTCACAACAACTCAGTGTGGTAGGTGCAAGGAAATAATTAGCCACATTTTACAGGTGAGGAATCTGGGATTCAACCAAATCAAGTAACTTGCCTGTAGTAACACAGCCATTTTGACTCCAACTACTCTACCCATCATACCATGCTGCCTCTTAAAATAGTGGCACTATTTATTAGAAAAACACAGGATTTTGAGTTTGAGGACCTGGATTTGAATCTGCTTCTGTTCTCTGTGTGACCAGAAGCAGTTACTTCATTTTCTGCGCCTAGGATTCCTTATCTGTAAAATTAGGATGAACTAGATTATCTTTAAGCTCCCTTCTAGCTCTAAAATTATAGGAATCTCAATTTTAAAATTATTAACAAGTCAGAGTCTCCTATTTATATCCACTATAGTACTTTCTGCAAAGTAGGTGCTTAATACATTGATTTATCTTGGTTGCTAAATATCAGCTTAACAAAATATAACTTCATTTATCTTCCTATTACTAGCACCTACCTCATAGGGTTGTGGGGAGGATCAAATGAAATAATATTTGTAAAAACTACTTATTTAGCACAGTCACTGACACATAATAGGTACTATGTAAACGCTTAGTCCCTTCTCTCTTCTCCTTTCCTCAGGTATGTCTTAACAATGTATCAAACTTGCAAGTTAGCACTTAAAGGGAAAATTATACTTTAGTTTTCAGAAGTGAGGAAAAAAATAAAACTAAAACAAAATGCAAAACAAAACAAAAACAAATGCAGAAACGACAGCAGTCTTAAACCTCGGAATGGGAGAAAGCATAATGCTCTTCCTATGGGAACAAACTGAGCCAATCAGTTTACAAGTAAGTCCCAGTAAGGGGCCCTAAGTGTACAGATGCTACTACACCCTACTACTATGTGTTCCTCATCCTATTTTCAGACATACAGGCAGCCAGGAAGAAAAGATCCTCAGTTTTGGCAGAAGTCTGTATGAAAAGAAAAAAATAAAACAAAACCCCAAACGTACTGCTACTTATACTAAGTGTGTGAAGCTTGTGGACTGTCAAACTTAATAGCTTTTATTAGTAGCATTAAATTAATTTCATCCAAAAAGGACTGAAGAATCACCTACTTTTTTTTTAAAGTCAAGTATTCTTTTGTACAGTAAAAGGAATATTTCTATTTTTTAAAACACTCAGATTTCACTGAAGCAAGATCAGGAGGTGGCAACAAATGACACCAGATGTGAAAATCTGCACTAGGTTCAAGTTCAGCAACTTGGAAAGGAGACCAGCTGCAATTCCCTTCTAATGCTGGATCAGCCATTAAACATGTGTGATAGCAACCTTTGGTTTCTTTTTTGTTCCCCATAAGGATAATGAAAAGCAAAATAAAACTTACACACAAAAAATAACCTTTCTAGTTGAACACCACAAGCATGAATGCAAGGATAATTTAGTATTTACTGTGGGTTTCTTGGAAAAAGAGAAGACTCCCAACCTCAAACTTTAAAAAAGTCACGTTTCCAGCATTCATCTAATAAGCTTTTATGGGTATGAAGTATTTGTCATGATGAAGCATTCAGCCCAGATAGTTTTAAGCCACACTGAATCTAACTATCTGACACTGAATGTGGTAATGACTGCATTAACAAATAACTGTGCCAAGAACTAATCAAACTGGTCAGTTTATTCCTTTACTCTGGAGTTCTTAATCTTTTCTGCGTCATGGGCCCCTTTGGCAGATGGTGACACTTATGGACCCCCTTCTCAGAAGAAGGCATAAAATAAAATATATAAGATTACAAAGGAAACCAGTTCTATTAAAACAGTTATCAAAATAACAACAAGCAAGTTTGGAGACCCCCAGTACCTACAGACGCCACAGCTGCCTAAGAAGCTGTCATTGTGCTAGAAGAAAGACACAACAGACATCTAAATACTGAGCTACTTTCATTTAAGGACAGAGAGAGGCCTGGAGAATAACATGTGAAAGCTCCTCATAACCAGGATCTCACCAGCAGGTAATTCCTCACCCTTCCAGCTCAGTCCTCTAGGCGCTGAGGTCAGCAGAGAGAGACACAGACGTCTTCAGACAAAGCTCTATCTTTGTTGCATCTTGAGTTTAATTACACATCCAGGTAGGTGTTTTTGCCTGCCCTGATATTAACTCTTGATCATGTTAAGTCAACAAGGAATGCAATTTCTCAGATTTTCCTTCCTAAAAGATTGAGTAGAAAAGAATATTGCAACAAGAGAATATTACCCTTGGTGTGGCCAACTTAAGCCTGGATCTGACAGCAGAAGCAAACAGAAAACTAGATTGGGCAGCAAAAAATTTCTGCAGACTCCCATCAAGAACCTAGTAGGTTAGAGCAGAATTAACAGAATGTGAAAACAATTCTGTTAGCTTTTGAACTTGAAATACAAGGTGAGTGGGGAAAAAAATGGGGCACAGAGATGGTAATCCCAAAATAGAAAAATGGAAAGGAATGCCACTTTGTGAACAGGACAATGATCTTAACATAAGTATTTCTGGAACATAAAAAGGCCTGTAAATCCATACTCAGAAGGGGCTTGCTAATTAATCAGAAGCCAAAAGAGTTAAAGTTATCATGTGCAAAGCTGATAGTTACCAAGTTACCAAAAACAAAACAAAACGCCTAGCCCCAAACCACAAAGCAGAAATTTATAGTCATTGGTTTCACCACTAGAGGTTAGCTCTACATCCTCACCCCCAATTTCCTTGCTAAGATTTTCTTTTCACAAATAAACTACATTCTACTTCTGCAGGTCTGCTGAAGCTTTATCCTTAAATAAGTCACTTCACAGGTCCTCTGGTACCACTAAAAATACAGTCAGAATCATGGTGAGGAGAACTGCTTAGGGAGGACTGCACTTAGCACAGGTTTGGGGAGTCATAAAGATGGGTCAGCAGGGACTGCTTTGCTCAACAAGGAAAAAATGATCAGGCTGGTTCTGTATGAGCTCTACTCTGCCAAAAGATTAGTGGAGGAGCTACCTCTCAAGATAAGAGCCTTAAAAAAAGAGAAGCTAAGTATTTCAATAATTTAAGCCAATATTTCTCAATCTATGTTCCACAGAACCCTACAGTGTTCTGCAGAACAGTTCTGCAGAACAGTCACAGTGTTTCTGTGAAGAAAAAAAAAATTAAAAGACAAACCCACATGCCAAAAACCAATATAAAGCACTGTTAGTCACGCAGAGATTGATAAGAAATTGATCTAAATATATGGGGCCAAAAGTTGGCCTTGAGTGACTGAAAGTTCCCAATAACATTTGATAAGGCAGAGTTGACAATTCTTATCAGAGTATGTGTAAAGTTAATATATATCCATTTACGTTCTTAATTTCATTAGTAAATTTTTTTATATTAGTGCTCATTGTGATTAAGTAAATAAAATGAGAAAGTTTGAAGAGGCAAAAAAAAGTGTTATTAAACCCCTACTCTTGATGGTAAAACAAACATTCATAAATCTTGGTCAAATACCAAATCACAAACACAAAAGAAACACAAACATGATAGTTAACTCCAATATGGATTTACTTCTAGTGAGTCTGATATGGATACATTGTCACAAACCTTTCCCAAAGTTCTGGCAAAGTTATAAGATGCATTTACCTACAGAAAAGTAAATTTACAAGCAAAATCATAAGGGAAAAATGTGTTTTTTCAAAGCATTCCCTAAAAGATCTGTTTACGTAAAGGAAAAATTAAAATTGTTGTCAAATGTTTTCCTGGGTGAGCTACCACCCAGGAAAGTTGCTCCCAATTACAAAAAAATTATTAATAATGAGGAGGCCATAACACTTTGCTTCATTTTGTTTCTAACACTTGTCAAACTTGCACAGGATCTTAGATCTCGGGCTGGAAGGAGCCCAGCCAGCCCAACCTCCTCATTTCTGGAGGAAAGAGAAGCTGGGGAAGGTTAGGTAACCTGCCTGGGGCATAACAGATAGAAAGTCTATTATATGGCAGGTTCAGGATTTGAACCCTAGTTCCTGGTCTCCAGTCAGTACTCTTTCCACTGAACCCAGCTATTTTGAAGAAAATACGGAAAATACAGAGCTAAAAAAAGTATTCTTATGTTATATGGGACCATTAATAGTAAGCATACATTAATTTCAAAGATTTTACTACAAGGTGACACTAAAGATTTATTTAAAATATAGAGTTTTTCCACTACAAAAAATTTAAGAACTATTTATTTGAAGACCAAAACAGTTCAAGACAGCAAAGACCTTCAGGTTTCCCAACCCGGAAGGCAGTCGGATGATCCAGGGTAAAAGGCCGAGTGCCGAGGATCCCAGAAGTCTCCAACAGGCACCTTCAGTCCCTGAATGGGCTGGGGTTCAGCTCTGCCAGCACCAGCAAACAAACACACATTCTTCTCTGTGCTGACACGCCACACAACACAGCTTCTCTCCAGGGCCTGTTTATTTAAGAAACCAAATGCTTTGATGTTTTTGTAGAAGTTGTGGAGTTATGTGTAAGGAAGAAGTCAGTGACAGACACTAGGGGGAGGAGGTAAAAAAACAAAATAAGGAACAACTCATAGCTACATGAATCAGAGGTTCAAAAAGTACCACAGAAATTGTCCAATAATCTGAGTGCAGATTCAGAAATTAAGAAAATATATTTCAGATAATGCAATAGCTTTGGACAAGACATTTCACTGTTTTAAGGTGGGATGAATACCTGTCTCCAAAGGAATTCTTAAAGGAAAAAAGAATGTTTTGAAGCAACACAACTTAAGCAGCAGATATTAATAAGTTATCTGAAACTTACTCAATTTTTCTTTCATATGTACAAAGATTATACATACCATGAATGTAACTTTTGCTATCATTTTCTAAATATATGTATTTATTTATTTTTAGTGTTTGTTTTAAAAAAAATTTGAGTTTCGAATTCTCTTCTTTCCCCCCATTCCTTCTCCCCACCCATTGTGAAGGCAAGAAATGTGATCTCAATTATACATGTGAAATCATGCAAAACATATTTCCATATTAGCCATGTTGAAAACAAGAAAAATAAAATGAAAATATTATGTTTCAATCTGCATTCAAACTCCATCAGTTCTTCCTCTGGAGATGGACAGCATTTTTTATCATAAGTCCTTCGGAATTGTCTTGGATTACTTCATTGATCAAAATAGCTAAGTCATTCACAGCAGATGATCATACAATATTGCTGTTACTGTGTACAATGTTCTCCTGGTTCTAATTCACTTTGCATCAGTTCATATGACTCTTTCTGGGTTTTTCCAAAACCATCCTACTTGTCATTTTTTATAGCACAATAGAATTCTATCACAATCAAATACTATAACTCCTTCAGCCATTCCCCTATCAATCATCTGAAAGAGAATCTGTTAAAAGCCTAGTAAGAAAACAAGTTATTAGGCTCAGGAGAACAGCATGTAAAGAATAGGATTCCCACATTTAAACACGAATTTTTTTTTTTGCTTTTCACTTAAGAAATTTTAGTTAGAGATCATTTCGGTTTGTTTTTTGGCAACTCTCCCCTTGTTCTTAGTAGGACTCAAGATGTTTATTTCTCTACATAGGAAATTTATATTGATTCCTCCATGGGAAAGATGAATATTAATTCCAATTTACCAAATATACTTTATATACATTTAAATAGTATCTTGAGTAAAAGTTCAGGAAAAATTTCCCCCAGGGAAGACAAGTTATAAAATATATCCACAAGTCTTCTAAAAATCTGGAATATTAGATATCAGTTCTTTAGAATATATCACAATACTTCATTTGGTTTTACTTTTATGAAAAGATGGAGTTCAATATTTGTCAGATTCTAAAAAGCAAAATCAGTCTTATGATGTATAGTACCATTATTAATAATCACTAAAAATAAACAATTTAAAGGTATATAACTTGATAAGACCCTCTGGGGTTTAAATTATTTTTTTGTTTCTACATTATTTTATTCTTTTTCATGGTAAACAGTAAGAAATCACAAGAAGTACTGATCTACATTAAATCATGGAATTCAGATACAGAATGGTATACTGGACAGTGCACTGGCTTTGTTGTCAGTTAACCTGAACTTGAAATGTGGCTCGGAGACCTACTACGGATGTGACCTTGGACCTTAACTCAGTTTTCTGTAAGAGAATGGGGTTGGACTATATGATCTCTAAGACTGCCTCCAAGATTCAATTCCCATTTCTACCAAAGAATCAATCTGATCTTAGATAAGAAAAATTTTCTCCGTCCTCTTTCATCTATATAATTGGTGATACAATTCAAAATTGCTCTAAGCCAGCAGTGTCAGAAGTCAAAAAGAAACAGATCCCTAGGGGTGCATATTAACTTAGAAAACCACAAATTAACATTACCAATGTTGCATTGAATTTTTATTTATTTTGTTAAACATTTCCCAATTACATTTTCATTTGGTTTGGGCTCTACTCTCACTCACAATTTTGCCATTTTTGCCTCTACTGGAGTTGACTCCTCTGCTCTACCACTACAATAATGTTTTTATTTAACAGCTGTTGTTACAATGATGTCCGAGCACCCACTCACTTTAATGAACTTGAAATCTATCTTATGAAATCTAGGGATACTGAAAGGTAGAAAAGGAATGATTGTTAGACAGCAGCTCTTGGCTACAAAGGTAGCTGTTTAGGAGCTGCCCAGCTCAAATATCCCTAAGTTGAAAGTAGCATCGGACTAACAAAATCTACTATTTAACAAAGCATGTAAATAGGAAATAAGTTGAAGAGAAGATCCTTGAAGACAAACCAAGGACAATAAGTATAAAACAACAATAATAAATTAAGATATTGAGAAGGGATAAGACCATAGTAAGACTATAATGATTAAATTAAACTAAAAGGAATGTATATTAACAGCTGAATTTCATGGCCTATCCTCACATTCTTACATCTCCTATTCAATTAATTTGGTATAACAGATTCCAGATTCTCTTAGAACAGTTTTCTTAATTCTTTACCTGTTGCTTTAAGGGGCAGTGTTGATAAAATGGTCCTTTCACCACAGGCAAATAAACGTGAACAAACAAAAAGCTGCCTCAGCCAGACATTTTTACAGGTAGTGTGGTTTGGAAAAGGGAAATCCTTGACTGAAGGAGTGTATCCAGCAGCAGCAGCAGCAGCCGCCGCCCCCGCCACCGACCTGAAGGCGGGGTAACCACCAAGGGAGGAATAAGGAATGTGGAATAGGAATGCATAAGACTAGCTGACCCAAGGAAAGAAGCTATGAAGGGGAAGAGTAGAAAAGATGTTTAGTAAACCATAGTTCTCAGCAGACCCTAAGCAGGAAAAGGATAACTTAAACAATTTTTTCCCCCTCTCTTTGGCCAGGGAGACATTCTACATCTCCAACAGTAATATCATCCGCTGTCAACCACTCCCAAATATAAAATCAACAGCCTTCTTAAATGCTCAGTTTAAATACTTTCAAGCAACCAGGTGCATATAGACTGTATATTAAGTCAGATTGTCTCTGCAGGTAAAATTTGTGAATGCTCTGAGTCTTCTGGCTCAGAAAGACATGTGAGGGCAACATGACATAATGGAAAAAAGCAATGGTATTGTAACTGAGTTCTGCTTCTGACCCTTATTAGTGTGAGACAAATCTCTTAATCTTCTAGACCTTCAGTTTCCTCTTTTCCCCACCCACAACACAGGGAAATAGTGAGCCAAATGGCATGTAAATGGTTAGATAAACAGCATAGCATTAATAGAGAACACTGTAGGTTCTGATTTTGGAATTCGGATACATGGAAGATGGGTATAGAGGAAAGAAAGAAGCAGTAAACATGAGTCTTTCTCCAAAATGAGTGAAAATGATATTAGGCAATAAGATAATAAAGAATACCAAAGAAAGTCAAGAAAATAACAAATGAAAATACTGAAAGTAGCATTACTGGCTTCATTAATATTTTTTAACTATACAAGCTAGGGATGCCTAAGTTGTACAGAATCAGAAGTAGGCAAAGGCCAGATGATGATTAGGCTCCCACAGAAAAAGCTGTGTTATTGGAAGGACAGCGTGATATGGTGGCAAACACATAGACCTTGGAATCAAAGGACCTGGATTTGAGTTATTCCGCCACTAGTGTGTGATTAGTTAAATTCTCAGCCCAAGTTTCCTTAGGGGTGGGGAACCTGTGGCTTCCAGGCCACATATGGTCCTCTAGGTCCTCAAGTGAGGCCCTTTGACTGAATCCAAACTTCACAGAACTAATTAAGGGGCTTTGTTTGGATTCAGTCAAAGGACCTTGCTGGAGTACCTAAAGGGCCACATGTGGCCTGGAGGGCTAAGGATCCCCACCCCTGCCTCATCTGTAAACTACTCACTTCATGGAATTGTGAGGAAAAAGACTTTGTAAATTGTAAAACACTGTATAAATGTATTTAAAGGAAATTGTATAACCCTTGCCTACTCAACACAGTAATTGGCACAATCTAGGAATCTTTGCACTACCAGGAACTGACGTTTTGCATGTATCTTATTTGCAAAACTGTTGTGTAAAAGATTTTCAACCCAACTCTGCACATATTGGTCAAAGCTCCTAGTATTCTGGGAGATCAGACATCATAGAACAGAGTAAAGGCACCATCCTTTCACTTCTAAGTAATTTTGTTTTTCTGTTTAAAAAAAGTTTCAAAATAACTTCAAATGACTACTCTTAACTTCTGAATACCCAAGTAAAGACACTTAAAAGGACCATCACAATAATAATGCCAGCAAATTGACAAAACAGTTTTGTTCCCCCGAAGCTTTTTTCACCTAGGATTCAGTACTTAAAGAGTACTATTACTCCCAACTTGGGGTGTGTGATAATGATTCCTTATGGGGGCGGGGGGGGGGGGAAGGATGGTGAAGTGCATTATTCGGCTTCAATTTACTTGGGGGGGCGGGATGGAGGAGAGAAAAAATATGCTTCCCGATCCCCTCCCCCGCAAGATTCGCACAAATTACCAAAAGGTCACATGAGAAAATAAAGACACAGGATGACACCCCAATGGCGAAACACAAAACCAATGAAACCAGAAACTGCTCGCACCCCCCCACATACACCTCCACCCCCCACACCCGGTAATGCCCAGTTCAAGGTTCGGTAGTGTACCGCAGAAGGAGGTGGGTACCAACGTGGGAGGCCCGACGAGACGTCTGGGGGTTCTGTGGTTTGTCGGGGCAGGAGGGAGGAAGAGGAGGAAAGCCTCCGGAATTCGGTGCTCCCTCCTCCAAAGTCTCGGGGCGTGGGGGGGAGGCGGGGGAAAGGAGGGGGAGTTTAAAGGCCCAGGGCCTCCCAACCTGGGGAGAGGCAGGGAGGGCCCCAAGCTGACACGTCAAGCGTCCCCCCCGCCCCGGCTTGCGAGAGGCGTCGCGGGGGCGGCAGAAAAGAATGCTGGGGGTCGAGGGAGGGGGCTCACCTGGTGCGTGTTGTTGTCCAGACTGGCCTCGATGCCCTGTAGCGGGCTGCAGCCCTCATCCTCCCCGCTCGGGCTACGCCGCCTCCGGCCGCCGCCCGGGCCGACCTCGGCTCCCCACAGCCGGCTCCCCGGCGAGGGGCCCGGCGGGCCGGTCAGCAGGGCAGTCCGAGTCCCGGCAGCCAGCGGCTGCGGAGCGTCCAGCCGGTCTTGGCCGGGGCCGGCTGGGACCGCGGGCAGCAGGAGGAGGAGACCGAGGCCACGGATCCAGAGCGAGAGACCACCGACGGCGGCTGCAGCAGCTCCCCGGGGCGGCTCCATCGCTGCCGGACGCCGACGCCGACACCTGCAACCTCAAACGCCCGCTCCCCTCTTCGGCGGTCCGCCACACCCCCTCCGCTGATCCTCGTCCTCATTGGCTGCTGCCTGCCAGGCCTCTCCAGCCCCTTAGGTTAGCCTGCAAGTCCGTCTCACCGGTGCCACTCCCCATTGGCCGGCATCGCCTCCAGCTTCGGGCGTCTTCGATTCGGACGCCGAGGCACGGAGCTGATTGGCCAAGCAGCGAGGCTTTTCCAGGGGCTTTTCTGATTGGTCGAGAGTGGTTGAGGTCATCGCTCCCCCTGCCCAGCGTATTCGTGGCCAGGCTCGCCGAGTTAGCGCTGGAGGAGACCTGGGGAAGGCTGCAGTGCGTACAGCAGGACTTTGCCGTGGCGGCTCTTCCCCCTCACCTTGCCCCCCCTCAACTTGGGAGCCAAGCCCCGCGCCCGCCCGGATTATCTCGAACTTCCTTCTCGGGCAAAGTCTGGCAGGGAATTGGGGGTGTGTGGGAAGATGGGGTGGGGGCTGTTAACGCAACCGACAAAACTCTCCCTGGGGAATGTAATCTAGTAGCCGGCAATGGGCTGGAGGGGGCGTCCAGCTCACGACCTGTGCCTCAGGTTCCACCCCCGCGCACTTGAACCCCAGCCTAGTCCTCCTTGCTGCTGCGCCGCAGTCCGGGCTGCCTAAGGGGGTAAAGGAGCGCTGGGTAGGCCTGAGCCTACCTGCCCAGCCAGAGAGCGATCAGAACAACCCAGACAGCGGAGCAAGCCCCGAGACTCCATGGTTGCCTTCCTTCCCTGCAGGGAGGCAGGGGGAAGCCCGAACTCTGGCTCTACTCAAGTGAGGGAATGGCGCTTCGGGGTACGACTGGGGAAAAGGGATCGCCTGCATTTTTCGCTTCTGGGTGAACAACTTCATGTCTACACACTGGCTTACAAATGTGATACCCTGTCCATCCTGTAGTCCTCCATGTCCACGTTTGAGTTTGATTTCTAGGGCACTGCAGAACAAAAAAACGCACTACTTCCTTCAAGTCAGGAATTATTCATATGAGCAAGATGCTCAGAGGTGCATCTCAGGTAGAACCAGTTCTTGGTCATTCTCTCTACCGACTCCACCCTTACCGTGAGAAAGTTGCAGAGCCTTCCCTCTTTCCTGATGTAAAGAACCCAATAGGAAAAGTGCATCATGATGGAAAATATGCAAGAGCATATCAACCATACTAACTCTCATCTAGGAAAAGGGGATTTGTTGGCGAAAGGTGACTCCCCCTCCCCACACACATTTGCAGTAAATCTAAATAATAAACAGTTAATATAAGCATATTACAGAATGTATAATATATCATCCTGATGTTTGTAAAAAAAACTCTTTGGGGTAGTTTAACTAGAAAACAAAAACTAAGCGGGAATTTCCCAAAATAACAGAAATGGAATATTAATGTGAAGACATTAATAATTTCAAACCGAGAACTGAAGAAAACTGAATCAAAGTCTCCAGTTGCTAGGCACAAAAAGATAATGCCTGTTGACAAGAGACTCCTTGAAAAACAGAACACTTTGTCCCTTTCCATAACACCACTGTGATTTGACTGTTTCTTATCCTCCCCTCCCCCCATCTACCACTTTTAATCTGTACCAACTATGAAGTAGGATACAAGCCAGCCAGTACTAGTAGCCATGTGATTAATGGAGGGTATAAAGGATTATTTCTTTGTTTGGGTGACACTCAAGGATGAATGGGCTATTGTCTGTCTTGGGGGAAAAAACAGTGCCACCTCCTGGAGAGATCACCAAAGTACATGCTTACCTTTTATTAAAGATAATTTTAAAGTCAGGAATTAATTTGTTCTGCACAAATTTAGCAGGTATTTACCTTAAAATTCAAGAATCTTACAGTTATGTGTACCTTTATTTGGCATTTACCAAGCAGCATGGTACAATGGAAAGAGAAATAGTGAGAAGAAGAAAGGAGAAAGAAGGAAGGGAAAGGAAGGAGAGAAAAGAGGGAGATGAAGGGTAGGCAGGCTGTGGAGACATTTCAGATCCTGCCTCTGATGCTTAGACTTTGACAGAGTCACTTAACCTTCCTTGGCTTCAGTTGCCTCGGTTATAAATAAGAGGGTTAGATTAGAAGGCCTCTGGGATCCCTTCCAGCTTTATATGTATGTAAATATACATATGGCTAAAATACATATAAAAAGATAACAACAGTAGTATATGACTTGTCCCTTCAGCTGGATTTTAAACTCTTCAAGGGCAAGGTCATCATCTACTTCTTTGTCTCCCCCACAATGCCTTACAGAGTAGGTACTTAATAAATATTTACTACATTTTTGTGATTTCTTACCTAGTCTTAATCACTGAATGAGCTTTGCCTCAGTCCAACTGAGACCTGGGGAAGATCTCAGCTTGAAAAGGCCAAGATCCCCCCACTGCATCTGGGGCCATTTTCAGCCCTCTCAATCAATCTATATCTTGCTACCAGACCCAGATGGCTCTGGAGGAGAAAGTGAGGCTGGTGACCATGCACAGATCCCCTCACTTAAATCCAATTTACTTTTGAGTCATGGCATCATCTTACGGATACTGTGGTCTTCTTTGAGAATGAAGGACAAACAACAACAACATTTTTGTAACAATTTGTAAATATTACATTTTTCTTTTCAACATTTATTTAATACAAAAGTTGGAGAGTCAGAAATTAATTACACTTTTATCCAGTATCCAGTAAGTTTCCTTATTTGCCTGGTCAAAAGATACAAAAATATTTTATTCTCTATTCAAACATACTTTCTCCAAAATAATTTTGCCAGGTGAATGGGTAGATGTGGGTAATAAAAAGCCTTAAAACACTTAAAGCTAATGGATATTGTATAGTTCTGTCAACCCAGTAGTTCCAAGAGTCTACATAAGAGAAAATCCTAAATATGGAATTCCTTGACAATGCATCAAAGTTTGTCCTATTCAAAAAGCCCATATAATTATTTAAGGTATAAAGTTCACTTTGGATTTAGTGCTTGCACTCTAATAAAAATGAAGCACCAGGCATTCAAAGGGAACTCGTAAAACATGAGCTACATACTGTTTAGAGCTTTGGGCTAAGTGCTACTCCTAGCTCACTGTTTTCTTCCCAAATTAAAGCACAAGATCACAGACACTCTCAAAATTTCTCACCTCTCCTCAGAGGAGTGAGATGACTTTGATAATCTCTATGCTGGCTTTCATTCATCTGGAATTGCTCACAGCATTTTACAACGGGCTGGATTCATTCATTCATTCATCAGCCTAGCTAGCTGAGCTAGGTCCTGAGAGACCGAGTTTAGTTAAGCCAGGATTCCTGCCCTCATGGAGTTTACAGCTAGGGATTTCACATTCTTTAAAGGCAAGTCATTGAATAAACATTTGCATTATATAAATCACTGAACAGTAAGCAATAAATTCCCAACCAAAGAAGAATACAGATATTAAGATAACCTAAAGGTTCCAACTTTTGTCATTCACCAGGAAAGGAAGGTGAACAGGAAGAGAGAAATCAATCCAGAAGGTAAATGACATAGTAAAGTATCTCTTTAGAATTCGATGCTTTCGGTTCCAAATTAGTTCAATACCTTTAGTTTCCAAATGTAATAAAAGTCCCTGTATATAACAACTTGGTTTCTGTTATTAATTGTTGTGTGAACTTTGGCAAGTAAACCTCTCTAGGCCCCATCTCCCTAAATTGTAAAAAGGTTAGACTGAATGATCTGTAAGGGCCTTTCTGTAACCTATTATAATTTTATGCTAGAAATCATTCAGGTTGTTTCTTCCAACAATCCGAACCAACTTTTAACATTTATTTACTGATTATTTTCCCCAGGACTATGATTTCATCATCAGTGTATAGTATTCCCCAGTGAGAAAACTTTGACTACCAATGCACAGCAACAATTGTTTAGTAATTTTATGGTCTTAAGAGTTGCCTAGGGCACTGAGTTTAAGTGACTTGTGTTGAGGGCCAGAGCTGAAGAGTCTAATATGGGATAAGGAATTTGGGTTAGAGCTTGATTCTTTCCTTTTCCTACTAGTAAGGGCTTATTTATTCAGAATATTTGGCTCACCAATTCCCCACCTAGGTGTTAGAATACTCTGCCCCTTGAACCTTGATAGCAAGCAGGTGTGAACAATTAAGGATGCACATAAGGGCTGGAATTAGTCACATTAAGAATGATCAGAATGCCTCGGGGATGATTGTTAGCTGTCACTATATAACCAGGACCCTCCAAATAATAAACAGCTCAGTCTTTCACTGACCCACCTGGCCCACATTTCTTCATTGCACACTCCTCCGTTTGATGCAACACTTAGTCGTGGGTGACAGACTTGCCCAAAGCCAGTATATATTAGAGGCAGGACTCTGATCAGCTCTTAATTCAATATACCATTCTCCTACTGGTCTAACATTCTTCATTGATGCTTCCTTCTTTAAACACTAATATCTATCTCAGAGCCAAGGAAATAATTCTGAGGTTCCCAGAGGTGAATTGCACTCAACTCTTCATTATCCACAGTAACTCAGGTTAATTTTTCATCCTTTCATCCTATTTTCTACCAAATGCAAGGGTCCCCTCCAGATAACTTTTGGATATACATGGCTCTGCTCTAATAGTTAAGATCTGAAAAATGACCTAGTTCTATACTTCATAATTTGATTAGATTCCAATGCTGGCAAGACCAGAATCATGAATGTTATCTCAGGACTCAATTAGTATTTCACAGAAATAGCTACCAGGTACTTTCACTAGCCAGCCACCCTATGTTGTTGGTCAGGAGGGAAAACAAGCTCCAAAGTAGCAAATGGCTAATCACTATCCATTATGATCAACTGGGTTAATTGGGGGTGTAGAGGAGAGGTGAAAGGGAGATCAGTATTATCATTTTTCTAAAATCCATTAAATGGAAGTGGTTTGATTGACAAGGGTGTTCTGTGGCACTGTCCCCTGTAGGCCACAGGGGGGAGCTTTGATGGTTTGAATTCATTTACAAACTCCAAAGGTGGTTTTAAGTGCCAGAAGACTCAATAGACTTAAGAGAGCACAGTACTTTAAGCAAAAAGTCACAACACGGGAAAATTAATATCATTTTTTTCTTTTACTTCCTAATAAAAGCACTTCACACACACACTCAGGACAACATTATAAGATACAGTACAACAAATTAATTTTCAGTTTCTCTTTATTTCAGTCTTCCTTTATGTACATAAAGTGTAAAAAACACACATACATCAATTACCACGGGAAACTCTTTTTCCCAGGGAGTAGAGCAGAAATAAAAATTGCAATCAGGAAAGTTGAAAGTTAAAGAGAGCCATGTCGAAACTCTTGAGAGTCCCTCTTCCTTCAAATATCCTTGATTACCTCTTCAAGTTCCTCCTTCGTGAACATATGGAATTTCAGGCCAGGCTCCACTGTGGCCAGCTAGAAGAGAAAAGGGCCAGCATTAGAGAGTGGGGCTGGTTACCCTGCTGAGCACAGGGCACAGACAGCATGATAAGGAGGGGGGGCCTCTGCCAGTGCAGCTGTTCACTGGGGGCTAACAGATCTGCTGTCCCAAGAATATCTTTTCCAGGCTGGAACAGTGCTCTGCAGGTCACTAAAATAGCTCTGGCCTCCAAAATAAAACTTTTTATTGTCCAAATCTCTTCCTTTAAAATGAATTCACCACTTGCTGGTTGACTAGGAGCTTGTGGAAATACTAAGGGGGAGTCTGATTCCATGCATCTACACGAAAAATACTGAAAAGCCAGCAGCATGAGAACATGGCTCTGGTAGGTTTGAAGAATGTCTACATATTTACATATAGTGCTTCTTTTGTGGTTTTTGAAGATTATGGACCAAGTGGCAACTTCACCAGCGCTAAAATCTATTTTTTTCTTTTTAAAACACAAATAATAAAAAGATGTCATTTAACCAATGAAACAGGAAATCAGTAATAATGAGCAGTCATGATCCCTTCTGCCCGTCAAGGCACAAGTGAGGGAGGTAAGAAGATGTTCTTATGGCTAAGACTACTGGAGCTTTCAGTACTAGTTCCTTAGTTTCATAAGCACCAAGTTCTTCAGTACCTAGGGACAAATGCTATAGTACCATTTCCATGTTCAGCAGTATGTTTACTAGTCTACACATCATCTCTCCATGTTTGATTTAAGCTCCATGAGGGCAGGGATCACATCTTACCTATACTTTGTATCTTCTCTAGAGTTTGGCAATGTTCTGCATAGTTGATGCTTGTTTGTTGAAATGAACATGAATTGGTAAAAATAAAAATTTTTTACTTTTGTATGCTAAAAATGTAACATTAATGTAATGCAACAAACATTTGTACTGTCACATTTGTACACTGTTGGGTAATAAACTTTTTCAAAGTGTTCGCAAATCTGGAGGCAGCTAGGTGGCACAGTGGATAAAGCACAGGCCCTGGATTCAGGAGGACCTGAGTTCAAATTCAGCCTCAGACACATAACACTTACTAGCTGTGTGACCCTAGGCAAGTCACTTAACCCCATTGCCTAGCCAAATCAAAAACAAAACAAAAACAAAAAAAAAGTGTTCTCAAATCTATCACTTCACTTGATACTCACAGAATCACAGACTCAGAATTGGAAGAGTTGCCATTGCCGCCTACTAGACCTGGACAGGAATCCCCTGCACAACACACCTATTGCTCCTGGTTTGACACTCTGAGGACTAACAGAATGGATCTCATCACTCCTCCAGATTTGAACATGTGCATCATCACATCACTTGAACACACCTGGTCTTTTCTCCAGACTAAACTTGTCCAGTTCTTTCAAACAATTCCCACGTCAGTCCACTCTCTTTCTTTTTTTGAAAACTGGAACATTGACTCTTCTCTCCTATCCATGATCTTCCAAAGATGACTGTGACTGAACAATCATACCTGCCAGTTCTTTCATTATCTTGGGGTGTAGTTCATCTGGGCCTGGCAATCTGATCCAAGGAAACTTGGTGTGCTATATCTCTCTACTTTTCTTGACTCCCTATTAATCATTTTTGTTCTGATCTTTCTAGTCCAAAGATCACTCTCCTTTGATAAGAAAATGGAATCAATAGGAAAAAAAAAGTTAAGTTTCTCTGTCTTCTCTTCATGTTATTGTTCCATATGTGCCCAAAGCAGCCCTATCCCTTCTTTGAGACACTTTGGCCTCAATGGAGCTAAAATCCAAATCAAACAAACCTTTTCTGTTCTTATCTACCCTTGTCAGTCTCAGCTTATTCTGAGCTTCAGCATTCCTAGTATCACAGGTCAAAATTTTGCTTCTGCATTTTTCTTTTGTTACTTTCTTTGCTTCTATTTTTCATAGAGGTATTTTTTAAAACTTTAAGATGGTCAATAAATTCCCTCAGTATCCACATTAGTCTCTCCAGCCACCTTTTCCTATTGCTCCTCATCAGAATGGTTTCTCTTTTTGTCAGTATTTCATTCTTGGCAGCTTCTCACCCCTCCTGGGATGTCCCACGACCGTGTGATTTTTCCCTAAAGAATCTGCTGGTGAGAATTAGATCCAGAAGAGAAACTGCCAGTCAGGTTTACCAAAACCTTTGGAGGGTGAAATTATCCTTTTGCTGTTGTCGAGGAGTCATTAACTGGTTTGCCATTTCTTTCTCCAACTCACTTTACAGATGAGGAGGAAATGGAGGCAAACAGGGTTAAATGAATTATCCAGGCTCACACAGGTAGCTCATGTCTGAGGCTGGCTTTAAACGCAGGTCCTCCAGATTCCAGGGCCAGCACTCTATCTCAGGGGTGGGGAACAAGGTTCTCAAGCGCAGCCCTCTGACTGACTCCAAACTTCACAGAACAAATCCCCTTAATAAAAGAATTTGTTCTGTAAAACTTGAACTCAGTCAAAAGGCCTCACCCAAGGACCCAGAAGGACCTAAAAGGCCACGTGTGGTCTCAGGGCTGCAGGTTCCCCTCCCCAGCTCTATCCATGGCCCACCTAAGCTATCCTCTTAGCTAAGAATTATTAGTTGTTTTGTTTTGAGTAGTGAGAGTACTCTTACAGATATATGGATCACCTTAGATCCCCATACAGACCCCCTACTATAACACACCTCTGGGTTGAGTTTATGACACATTCCCTGAACTTCTCTTCTATTTCCTCTTTTTGTCCAAGCAGTCTGAAGTAGATTCCAATGACAATATTGTTTCTTTTTCATCTCTGTTGGCCTTTACCCAAATGCTTCCTTCTCTGATTCCTCAGTGCTTAGCACAGTGCCTGGCTTAGAGCAGGCATCTGATAAATGCTAGTTGCCAGGACTTGACTCTCATGATTATATCTTCCCCATATACGAGACTATTCCATATTCACCCTGTTTCAACCTGTGCTTTTTCTGTTAAATGAAGTACAATAGCCCGGAACCATATTTCATTCACTGGCCTTATCCCACCGGGTCTCAATGATACCTAGGAGGTCAAATTTGCCTCCTTGCCTTAGGCTATCTAGGTCACTTTGTTTGTTACCCATACTCTGCATTTGGGCTGAGATAACTGAAGCCACCTGTTTATGCTTAGCTCCTTTCTTGGATCTCATCTGTGAATTTGGGGGCATTCTTCCTACACTGTAACTATTCAACGTCTAGCTTGTCAGAGATATGTAGGCAGCCTCCCCAACCCTGCTTCCTTTTCAGTTTAAACACTCTTTGATTATATTTGAAAGACTTTAGACAAATACATTCTTAGAAGCCTTTGGTAAGTATAGTCTATCCTTGGTCAGGAGTTCATTATTCCTATATTTGAAGCTCTGTTAAATTAGGCATGTTGAATGAGTATAGTGGAGAAATGTGGAGGTGAAAAGCAGGGCCAGCCCATGATATTCATCAAGTTCTCAATAGGGCCTACAGAGCTATTGCACAGGAAGAAGAAATGAGCTGCCAAGGTACCTCTATGTTAGTTGCATTCAGCTTTTCCTCCATCACTTGCTTGAGAATTATGAGTGATGACTTGATTGCTTCTTTCAGGGTCATAGCCTTGGGGAAAAAAAAAAGGGGGGAGGGGGAGAGGAAGGGTTGTGGATAAGGTACTACTTAGGAAGCAAATCACCCTCCCCTTAAAAAGGTTGTACTAACACACTACTAGGAACTGTGAACTGGACCACCTGCTGTGGAAGCTATCACTACATGCATACTCCAAGGACATTAAAGACAGAAGAAAGGCACCAAATAAACATGACGACAACATGGCAAAAAACCAGAAAGAAGGTGGGTACCCATAAGTTGGAAAATGGACCAATAGTGGGTTTTGAATATAATGAAATAATATTGTATCACATAAGTGACGAATATAAGGAGTTCACAGGAGCCTGGTAAGATTTATTTGAACTGACACACAGTGAAATAAGCAAGACCAAAGGAACCCAGCAACCCCCTTAGGATGAGGGCAAGCAGCACTAGAGGACAGATGAATTCAGACCAGCGCAGCCTTGGTTCTGGGGGACAGAAGATGAAGCGCGCTTCTCTCCTCTAGGAGGAGGGTACGGGACTAAAGGTGAGGCATGAGTCCTGTGTTTTCATACATGTTCATCATGCTGGCCCATGTCTTTATCACAAAAACAGGATTCTATCAAGTACAAGAGGTGGAAACTTGGAAGTGACAATGATGAAAAAAACCCTAAAGAATCAGTGGGAAAGCTGGCTTTGAAAATCTGTCCCATCTTTAAGGAAAATAAACAAACAAAACCCACAAAAAATCCCTGGTCATTTCTCCAAGTATTAATAATTTCAAAACCTAGACAGGATAACAAGTGAAATGAATCAGTGAACATTTAAGCATATACATACAGATTCACAAAATGGGACTTTAATCTACGGCACCAGAACAATTACCGATAGCTCCTCTATGGTTCCTTACCTGAGAGGAAGTTTTAGAAAATGGTTTTATCTCTTTAGTTACTTAGGTTCACCTCAAAAAGAAGATTATGAACTCCTGATGAGCTCTAATAGGCTACATCCATTAAGTCTAAGAAAGAGCCTCAGGATTCAGAACACAAAGTATATCCCCTACTTTCCTGTGTTCTATCTCTGTAACCTAAATTTGTCCAACTATAAAATAAAGCCTACTTGACATGCATGGAATTCAGTGATACTGCTGGGGATTTTGTGAGATGATAGCTGCCCTTCCCTTCTGAGTGACAGAGCAGAGAAAAAAGACAGAGAAGCACAGACATTAGGTGTTTCTTTCCCACAGTGTAAGGCTTTTAATTTGGTTAGTCTTTTAGGGCTGAGACTGAGAAATCTCAAATAATCTTACAACCCTAGAGTGTTTGGATTGAATACCCAACTGTTTTAAGAGTCAGCTTCCACCTACACAGAAACACTCTGATCTGGTCTGAATACCTTGTGATAAACTTCCTGCAAGGAGCTCTGGGCACCTTCTGAAGCAGAGCCAATTGCTCGAGCATCACACTGTACAAAAGTTCCTGAAGGGTCCATATGAAACCTACCAGTGGTAAAAAGATGAGAATTAAAATGCATCACCTGGATAAGCATTTGACATCACACAACTCTATGGGATTCAAGCGCAATTTCTTAAACACCTGGTCCAACAATAAAGGGAAAAGAAAGTCCAAATGACACAGTGGGACACAGATTTAGGTGAGTGAACAAAGCTAGTTAAGGTGCTTAAGAAAACAAACAGCAGTGGCTGGCAATTAGAAGAGAGAAATCTTCATGTATTTGTAATATTTGAAGGTGCTCAGCAAATCATATCTGATCATAGTATTAAGAACAAAAGGACCTTAGAGATAATCTAATTTAATTTTTCACATGAAAAATATGGGGCCCTATGAAATGACTACCCCAAAGTCACAGAGCTAGTATTTAAATCTAGGGCCTTTGACTCCAAATGTAGTCATTTTAAAGAGAAGCTCTGAAATTCTGTTTTAAAGATACAAAGAAATAGCAAGAAAGACTAGACCTATGATTTCACCTGTAAAGGGAAATGTCTCTACCAATTCAGGTCGGTACTTTCTCTGCCACTTAGAACAGTCTTACGGAGTTGTCCGGAACAGAGGAGTCAAACATGTGGCCTACTATATTCCCAAGTGCAACCTGAACCAGATAAGAAGTACAATAAAGCATAGATAATACTAATATGTGCCTTTTTAAGTCAATGTGGCCTATAGGGATCCTCATGTATGATATGGTGATCCCTAGTTCTCTCCGAGTTGACACCACTGGCCTCAAGCACTGAGAGGGGATATCAGTTGATTGGAGTCACAGTATAGGCTGGAGGCAGGACTTGACCCCAACTAGTCCTGGCTTCTAGTTCTCTTGTGATAGACTTCCTGCAAGGAGCTCTGGGTACCTTCTGAAGTAAAGTCAACTGCCCAAGCAGTTGCACCCTGTGCAAAGGTTCCAAAGGGTCCATGTGAAACCTACTGGGATACAAAACTATCTTTCTCTAGAGCAAGAATCTGGCTCCCTATACACTGCATCATGCTGCCTAAACATACAACTAAATTGAAATATAATCTCTTTCCAAACAGGATTGATCCCAGTAATAGTGCTCTGCACAGAAGCCTTCCCAATTCTCTTTTGTGTGTGTGTGTGTGTGTGTGTGTGTGTGTGTGTGTAAGGGACTGGGGGGAGACAGAGAAAGGGAGAGATAAACCAGGCAAAACCCTTCTGAGAGCTACAGAAGTTACATAACTTGACCAAAGTCACCCCTAATTTGCAGCAAAACAAACACCAGAATATCAGTTTCTCCCAACGCTCAGGAAAGTCCAGTGCTCTTGCTGCTCTACCATGCAGCCCCTTGGGGTGGGTGCTCTCAAATCCAAAAGCTGCTGGAATTCTGTTGCCACAAACCTATCTTCCAGCTATGCCCAAGTATGCCATCAGGGTTTTCGCTGACACATATAGTGCTGTGGCTATGACATCAGACTAGGACCCAATTATAATACTGACTCTCATATACCAGGGGTCAAATTATGCTTTCCAAAACATAACTGCATAGAGGAAAAGCTTGATATAACACCATTAGCCTATGTGTTTGTACTATCTTCCTGACACCAGTATTATGAAGATATTAGCTAGCAGCACAAAAAAACAAAAACAAAAACAAAAACAAACATCCCCAGGTACCTTCCTAGGTTTAAAATGATCCCACCCCAGGGATTAATTCCTCACTTTCTCACTGACTTGTTAATTGAGTGAGATTTTTCTCATAATTCATTTTAAGTCCTGAGAAGAAAGACATGACAACTAAGGTAGGTTAGACAATAGCAGCGGGTTTTTTTGTGGTCTGAGAAACCAGAATAACTTCTGTAAGTGGCTTAAAAAACGTCTCTTTCTAGTGATTGAAAGCCACTGCTACTTTGCCAAACAAAAAGAATTCCTTAAAGGGAACCAAAAGAAACTACTTACAGCTGTGGTCCTTTTTCATCAACTCCTCCAAATAATAGTGCCACTCCAAATGGACGAGACTAGAATGAGAGAGCAGGAGGTATGACAGAAGTAAGAAATTTGTGACTCTAGTCCTAAATCATATAGAACAGTAAGAAAACAACACCCACAACATACTTACCATAGCACCAGGATCTGCATCCTCTTCCCCAAACTGCAAAGCCAGGTTGGAAACTGCCTGGGTCACACTCTCCACTGTCATTGTCTCATTGTAAGTGAACCAGTGGTTCTAAGAAAACAGCAAAATATAGTATAACCTTTGTTTGAACCGTACTGTTGGATGGCTATGGTGGTAAATGGAAGACTTAAGTACCTTTGGCCGATGGAACCAGGAAGAGAAAGATAATATACATTTCTTGGGATTTTGTGAAAATGAAGAAAACTGTTCTGGAAATAACCCTTCAATATGAAGTGTCCCAAAAATCTTAGTAGAGTTTAAGAAACTGTATCAAGACTCCAAGCAATGAGTGATGGTTCATCCCAATCCATTTATAAAGAGCTAATCTCAGAAAACTAAACTCTTCACTTTTAGAGAATGAATGCAAAAACTTCCCTCGAGGTCCTCACATTACCCTTCTTTTAGTATTAAAATCAAAATTTACCTTTATTTACCAAGGTACTGAAAGCAACCTTATAAATAAGTTCAAAGAATTTTCTAGCTCATGACTTTTTTCTTACTAACCCGTCCTTCAGATAATAACAACAAAATAATGAAAATAATGGCAACTGACACATAACACTTTAAGGTCTATGCAGCATTTTACATAATTATCTCGTGACACAACCAAAAAATCTCAACAAAATCAGTATTTCCAATCAGACACTCAATACAAATCATTTTATTCACCATAAGAAAAGTGTTATTTGTAAGGCTGAACAAAAAAGTGTTAGAAATGAAAGAGACCTTGGAGATCCTACTCATTTAACAGATGTAGAAACCCAAAGTCTAGAAAGGATCATTATTTTGCACAGGGCACCCAGCCAGTAAATAGAAGAGTCCCAACTGGAATCTAAGCCTGCACCTAGCTCCCAGGAAGCAAGCCCTTCAGCTCACAACCACCTCCTGTTGTTGAACTCCAAGAGAAAGTTCCCTTCGGTACAGAACACAACTCAGTTTCTTGCTTCATATCAAAGCATGGCCAACAAAAAGCAGGCATCAGCTCTTCCACTGTGGGCACCCTTTCAGAGAGGAGGTTCAGCTAGTCAGGCTCTGAGCCTTAGGCCAGTGAAAACTGTGGGTACAAACCTGAAAAACCCCCACGCACAGTTATCTGACATCGACACAAACAAGCACAATGCACTCTGGGGTGGCTATGTCACCACCAGGGAAAGAATGTTGGCTGCATGCTAAAGAGGAGAGATGTCTAGAAGCATTCATTACCTGTGTCTCCACTCTGGCTTTATCAATCAAAGTCTTTGCGTCAGCAATTAACCCACTCATGGCACAACCTGCAATGCAGAAGCAACAATGACCCACTGGGTAAATCTCTCCGGTTTCCCTCTTGGACACTTCATAACATTTCATCTATTAATGAAACGCTGCAATTTCTGGAGTGGAACAATAGCAGCTGTTCAATGACCCTCAGACTGTACTACCCAACAGAGAGAATAAACAATCTATCTACTTTGTATCCAAGTGAAATCATGTTGCAAAAAACTGGGAAAAAACCCACAGCAGAGATGAGAACCGAAGCACAGCTGTCAACAGTAATAGTTGTCATTTATACAATGCTCTGAAAATAACGTCTATGGTATCTACCTTAAAGGATTACTACTTTTATCAAATTTTAATAATTCAATCATTTTATCAAATGCTTTAAGGGTCTGCAAAGAGCTCTTCAGACATTTCATGTAAGTCTTCCAACAACCCTCTAACAACTATTTATCCCCATTTTACAGATAGGAAAACTGAGGCTCAGAAAAATTAAATGACTTGCCCATAGTCACAAAGCTATTTAGTTTTAGTGGCTGGATTCAAATCCAAGTCTTCCTGACTCCAACTCCAGGATGCTACCTACTCACTATGCCAGAGTACCCTCTAAGAAGGGTTCCTTGGTTCCTGCCCAAGTATGACACAGGGGACCAGGTGGTAGTGCATATAGAAAACATCAGGAAGACTTTCCATATACAACAACACTCCTGAGCAATTTCTTTAGCACTTTTAATCTGAGGACTACAATGCATTTACAAGAGGTTAATTAACATTCTCTCCCTACACCCAAAAAAAGGTTGCCATGTCAACTGGAGAAAATGGGCCTGTCCATGGCTACAGCAAAGACTCATTCCACTTTCCAGTCCCAAACTCAGACCAGGTGTCTGTATTAGAAATGAACAGTTACAAATGATAAGCTGAAACTCTAACAGGAGATGACACCAAAATAGAAGGCAAAGGTGACCACTGAGCCACCTCCAAAGTAGGTGACCACACAAAAAGGGACACAATATTTAGTTAGTGAGTCACTGTGCTGACCCTGAATGGTCACATCCTCTCTGGGGCTCAGTTTCCCTTTCTATAAATACTACCCAGTATCAATCTCTCAAGGGAAGCTTTTTCAAGTGAAAAATCCCATTCTGTGGTCTGAAAGCTTCCCAAGCAGGGCAACCAACTGTTCTACCTGAGAGACACTAGTCCAATAAATAGAGAGGTCACCACAAAATTGACTCTGGATAGCTAATTCAAATGCCACGCTATAAATAAGTAGCACTGTTCACCCCGCAATGCCACAGGGATGCCAGCAACTACAGAAAAGGAACTGTAGTAACAGGGACAGGGTTAAATAAGAGAAACCACCAGAAAAGGGAGGAAAGCCACCTTCAGTGGAAAGCTCCGCTCCGCTCATACTCTCTCTTAACCTTTGTCACTTACAAGTTCTGTTTTAAGAGCCCCTGTTTTTCCTAGGGGACAACCTTGGCCTCCTGTATCTGATCATCTCCATTTAGAGCAGGCGGCCCCCTTCCAGGGCTAACATTATGCACCAATGAAGCCACAGCCACCGTAGGGAGCTGGCCCACAACCAATCCTTTACACATTTCAACAACTCTCTGGTCTGCCAAGTCTAAATCTGAGGGGGAAGGGCACTTTGGGGAGTACGTTAAACACAAATGAGTGCTGCAGCTGCTGCTTCCTGCTCCTCCCGTTATGCCCCATTGGCCTGATGCCTGGAAAACCAGCTATCACAAGCCAGCGCCTTCTGAGAGGAGAATGTCTATACTTCTCAGGTCTACCCTGATGAACCCACATTTCCTGAATCTGCCTTGGAGCATCATGGAAGACAAACCCAGGCTTGATCTTATGGAAGAGTCTTCCCCCATCCCTTACCTATATGAGCATCGATCTCTACGATTTTCTCAATGCTGCTGGGTTCCATGAGTGGGGAGGTGATTCTCTTCTCCACAGCGAGACACACGCCCTCTGCCGTCTGGATGCCAATGGCTGTGGAGCCAAGCTAAGGACAGAGACGCTCTAGTTATAAACAACAATAAAGAGGACCGACAGTGTACCATACTCGCTGGCACAGAACTACTTACACAGTCTGGTAAGACTGACACTTCAACCAAATACACTTCTGCACGCACAGGAACCAGAGTCTCTGGAAAGGTCTCCAGATTATCTGGCTTTTGGTCATACTTGCTATAAGTGTCATGAAAAGAGCACTTTAGAATCAGGATACTGTTGTCTGAGTTCTGGCCCTACCATTCACAGGCTCGACGGCCTTGGGCAAGTCACAACCTTTGTAAAGTCAAGCAGATATGTCAAATGGGAAGAATGCTACCAAACCTGCATTTAGTAAATCTCATCCGTAAAATGGGAACAACACTAAAATCATCTACCTTATAGGGTTGTCATGAACCTCAAATAAGCAAATGTATGAAAGCCCTTTGTAAACTCTAAAGTGCTATGTTATTATTGGACACTTTTAAAAATATTTTTTAGTTTTTTATTTATATTTTATTACATTTATATTTATTATATTTATATTTAATTTTAATATTTCTAAGATATATTAAAGCCACACCATTGTTTGGAGAACCCCAGAAAAGGGATCAACTCTAAGGATAATATTTAAGGGGAGATTCTGAGTTAAAAAAATGAACTGGAAGGTTCCAGCCCTACATGGCTTAGAAAAAGGGATTAAACAGCCCAAACGAGAGAGCTCAGCCAAACTCTGTACTGTCTCCCTAAGACAGGTTTTTGCCCTCTGCTGTTGCTATTCTGATCCAATGATATTAACTAAGTTTGTGGGCATAGTGACACAATTCTTTTCACTTAAAACTGGATTTTTAAACCTGATAACAAGAACAAAACATAGTTGTCCAGACCCTTGTCACCTCATGACTGGATTGCTACAACAGCCTATTCTTCTGGTTTCTCTCCACTTCAATCTATCCTGCACATTGATACTCTACTCATCTTCCTAAAATACTGTTTTCATCATGTTCTCCCCTACCTGAAAAACCAACAATGACCCTCAATTCCCTCTGGTATCATACCCAAACTTTCCCACTCTTCCCAAGTTCAAAAGCTCAACTCCAATCTAAGCCGTTTCCTCACTGTCTTGCATGTACCAAGAGTTTTCACTAATGCTGCTTCCCCTATGTGAAAATTCTACCTTATCCAGATCCTACTCATATTCAAAAGCCAGCTGAAGTCTGATCTCTTCAATTAAGCCTTCCCTAACTATACTCTCTCTCTTCTCAACTCCAAATGCACTTAAAAGTCTTCATCATACAGTTTAATATCCAAGTGGCCTAGCAAAGTGTCTGACATATAGCAGGTGCTTAATAAATGCTTATTCCCTTCCCTCTCCACCCCCCCTTCCCTGCCCCCTCACTGTTTAATGTATATTAATAATCCCAACTAAGTTTTAAGGCTGTAGGTATCGCATGTCCCTATTATTTTCCCCACCCCACTGAAAGGACTTAGCACAGTGCTGGGGACATAAGTCCTCACAAAATGACTGATTTTCAGAGAAGAAATTCGATGATCAGTCCACAGGGCTGTGCTTTTGTCCCCAAAATGCCAAAAATCTAAATAGCGTTTCTTCACTAGGTTTTCTCTTCAATAAAAAGTCACAATTCTTAGGTGGCTCCAAAGATAGATACAAAATACTCACTTCACACAAAATATCCAGTCTAAGTTCAAGAACATTCTCTTCTGCATCCTGACATTTCTGTCTGGGGATAACTGTACTTTTCCTCACCACAGTGACTAACATCCAGGTAGTTAACTAATATTACAATGCCAGAAATGTTAACATCTTGTATCTATCCTGATTGCACATGTCAAAATACCACAAAGAATATGCTAATATAATTATGAAGCTGATGCTAATAAAAAAAATTAAAGGGTTGAAATGGTTATAAATATTTTTCCCATTTGTTGTTGTTCAAGGCACACAAAAAGAACACTAAATTCTGAGAAAGCATCAAGGCAAACAGACATAAAGATTTATATAAATGGGAGCTGCTTCGACTCTCAAGTAAATCCTAAATGCTCTTCCAATAAGGGGTTTGGGTCATGCAGCTGAATTTCTGAAAAGATCTTAGGCAAAGAACAATTTCAAAATTCTCTGCAATGTAACTACTGAGAGATGTTTCAAACAGGTCAGTTGTTATCATACCTTGATGGCTTCAATGGCATATTCCACCTGGAATAATCTTCCCTCAGGAGAAAAAGTATTCACACCCCTGCAGTGAAAAATAAGTCAGTAAGAAGAGTCAGCAGACAATGAAGTTGATTTTCTCTCCATCAGTTGCTCAATTAAGATGGTATTATTTTCTTTTCCACCTTACCACAGACTGCAACCACACAACACAGTAAATAACACTCTCAAAAGAATGGGACCTATAAGCAGAGAAGACTTACCAGATTGAACCAATGACTTCCACTGTTTAACCCTAACTGGAATAAGAATTCTTTGGGTTGCTCTAAGCCCCCACATCTCTCTAGGCAATCTCCAAATGTTATGACCTTATTCTTGCCCATCTCCCTAAATTGTAATTACTCCTTATAGATTGATGATGTTGCTTTTTTATTATTCCTTCTACCTATTTGCCTCAATCATGTTATTTGTTTTAAATTGCAGGCTTCTAGAAGGCAAAGAATATGTCTGTGTCCAGGATCTTGGTCACAGAATTCTTATAAATGGAAAAGATCTTAGTAACCCCTTCACTGTATGGATGGAGAAACTGAGGCCCAGAGAAACAATAACTTGCCTAAAGGCTCACAGGGATATTAAATAGCATAACTCAGATATGAATCAAGGTCCTCCAGTTCTAAGTCTAGCATTCTTGTAGTAGCTCATAGTTACAGAATACTTTTCTCACAACAGCCCTGTGGGGGTAAAGGCTGCAAGTACTGCTCTCCCCATTTTACAGATTAACTATGGAAGGAGTTAGATAAATGGTACAATCTAGCTAAAAACCAGCATTCCCAACTCTAAAAATAGTGGCCTATTATACCATATTACACAAATGTGCTTCCTAAATTTAGCCCTCTCTCCCCTCACCTCCACCTTCACTCCATTTCTACAGCCATTATTCTAGGTTAGGGCCTTACTTTTTTATTTACCTCTCACCTGTATTTTAATAGTCTCCTAAATCATGTCCCCAATTTCTGTCTTTTTCTACCCCTAATCCATCCTACACTCCAGAGATTAATTTTCCTAAAGCATAGTTGTTGTCATGTCATTCCCCTGCTCAAAAACTTTCAGTGGCTCTCCATTGCTTACCAAACAAAACCTGAATTTCTCAATTTGGCATTGAAAGCACTCCATGAATGCACCTCAAAATATCTTATTTACCTTTATCACCATTACTCCCTTAATCTAACCTAAATTCCTACTACCTTGGTTCCTAAACAAAGCCTTACTTTCCTACCTCCATTAGCAAAATCATGTTCACTCTTAAAAGCCCAGGTCAAATACTACCTTCTCCCCAAACCTACCAACCAGATGGTTTCTTTTCCCTTTGAAATCTAGTGGCACCTTGTTCTTACTATTCTTACATTTAATAGTCTGTCCTAAATTATAGTTAAGTATATACACAAGTTATTACTTTCCATAAGATTGTTTTATCATTGCATTCTCCTAGATATACGTAACATTTAGTAAATATTCAGTAAACAAAAGAATGTATCATTTGCAAATGGAGTTTAATAATGTCAGTGGAGATGATGACTTTCTAAAATGTGCTCACCTAACTCTGCTATGTCATACCATAGAAACACTCATTCTCAATACCCTGGGGGGAAAAAGATGTAAGCCTGGACAAAGGCAAGTCTTTAAAGTTGAAGAAAATGCAGTGGAAAGAGTACTGCCCTCGGAACCAGAGTGCCCAAGTCCAACTCTTGTCCCAGTCACTACCATTATTACTACCGTGGGGCAGGTCACATCTCCGGGTCTCAGTTTCATGATCTGTAAAATGAGGCAGTAGGTCTAGATAGCCTCTAAGTCAGTGAAATTTCACATTTATACACTATACATTCACAGAAACCTTTCATAGAATATGGAAGGGAAAGGAAAAATTACCCTCCTTTAATTATGACTGACAGGACAACAAACTTTATTTGTCATCAAACCTTGTTCTCAACTTTACTGTTATTCAGACTTGTAGAAGAAAAACATCTACCTCTACAGACTCAGAATTTAAAAGCTCGAAGGGACTTAGGGAAAACATGTCTATGTCAAAACGAAAGTGATAAAGCCAGAAACCGAAAGCAAAAATGCCCGTGGCATAAATGTTGCATTTCTGGCTTCCTCCAGTGGCCCAGGTAATTTGTTCTCTTAAAATCCTCTTCCCAAGCCCAGTTAAGTGGAATTCTAAAAACGAGGATTGTGAGTTGGTTGTTGTATTTATAATCTGACCTACAGGAAAAATTTCACTATAGGAAAAATTGCTTTTTAAAACGAAAGCCCACTCTTAGAGGTTGCAATGGGAAGGAACGGCATAATGAAGACTATATAAATAAACTACTCATATTAAATCAGTCGGATGAGAGACTAAGTTTAGGAACCTGCAAGGACTACAGATCCCAGAATGCACTATTCCATCTTCTGCAGCTGTAGGGTCTCATTCAGACCCTACGAGGAAAGAAAAACGCTGCCGTTTTCAGGGAAGGAGGAGGAATTTGAGACACCCCCCCCATGGAGTTCTCATTCATTTTCACTTCGACTTCCACTGCTCTACCCGCTGGGCCGAGGCCCCCGGGAGGACTTCCTGATGCCCTCCTCCAGGGCACAGGCTAAAGTTCGGGCCCTCTGCCCCGGTGCCAGAGCCCAAGCCCGGGCTTTTCGCTTCTGCACCGCTTACGATGACTCAGCAACGGCCGTAGGCACAATGCGCTGATCTTGCCCCGAGTCCGAGGCCGGCGGCCTGTAAATCCCCGGGCCCGCGCCGAGCCGGCTCCTGGAGGGCCTCATGACAAGGCAGAACCGCGGCCAGGCTCGGGGCCTGCCTCTCTCCGGGCCTCTCTCTCCACCCGTCTGCCCCCTGGGACTCTTCCACCCGCACGAACCTGTCATATTCGGACCGGGTGAGGAACATGGTGAGGGGCAGAAGTCAGCGGCCACACAGACACTCCTCGGGCCCAACGTGTCTCCACCGGCCCCGGACGTACAGAGAAATCCCCCACGAAGCTCCCTGGGCCCACACAGCGCAGGCGTTTGCGAACCCTACAGCCCGCCCTCTAATTCCGACCTCTCATTGGCTGAATGTAGCTCTTCCAGAGGTGATTGGGTCCCGGTCTTCCCGGCATGGTTCTGATTGGCTTAAGCAGCCCACGCGAGGGGCGGGCCAAGCACCGTTCTTCCGCTTGGAGGGGCGGGTGGTTGCTAGGGGCACCCGGACTGGGAAGGATGGGAAGGATACCTGTCCCCAGAAGCCCAAGATGGATCAACTCCCGGGCCTGGAAAGAAGCGAAGTGCCGCGTGCCTTCCTGGCCCCATGGCTTTGCTGCGGCTCCCTTACCCGGGGACGTGCCCAGAACCCGACTGCGTTCTGCTTCTCCGGGAGCACCTCCTCAGGCCACGGGATGTCGAACAAGGCCTGGACGGCGAAGCCTGGAAAAGGCTCCCCGAGCCGCGGGATCCTTGGTCCTCCCGGCTACGAGGCTCAGTGGGGAGCGGTGACAAAGGGCCCCTGGCTGCCTTTGGGCCTTTACGGAGTCGGACGCTCGGCTGTGTCACTAAAGGCGGGCGAGTCCCGTTAGCCCCAGCCTGACTCATGGCGCATGCGCTTGGGCCCCGTGGGTGCCTGAGCCTAAAGAAAAAAGCATGTGCAGTCTTGGCCTGGGCCAGAGACTTCGCGGGGCACAGGCTTGGAAAGTTTGTACTCCGGACGCTCAGGGTTTATCTACGCCAATCTTCTCATTAATGTGAGGAAACTGAGGTAGAGAAAGGAAGTGGTTTGGTCAAAGTCTCCCCCTCCCCCCACCCCAAGTATGTAGTAGATCTTGAACTCAAATCCAGATGTTAGGTCTATGAATCCATATCTTTTCCCACTATGTAAGATTCCACTAAGGCTGATATCCTGCCTTTCTTTCCTTTCACCCCGATTTCAGATTGCAGTTCAGGTGCTCTGAGTACATTATTAAAATACTTAATTTCATATATATGTATACATTATGTATATACACACATACATATATTTTCATATTTCATACATACACATATGATAAAGATGCCAGTATATCTGTGTGTTTAATGAATGCTTGTTGATTGTTTGATTTAGCCTACCTGGAAAAATGGGAGAATAGTGTAACAACTCCCTAGGCGTAATGTGAAAATTGCTGTATTCAGATTACTGGATAAGAAGTGTTTTAGACCATTGCGTTAGCCTTTTGACTGGATATCCCTTCTCAGAGCCATATACACTGCAGCCAGATTAATAATAATAATAGTAATTATTATTATTATTATAAATAAGATCCTGATATGTCTTATCTGTGACTCTCCTGTCTTGATCTGCCGCTGTCATATTCAGAAAACTGCCTCAGCCTTCCTAAATCTGTTCTCACCATGACCTCCAGTCTTTCACTCCCTCTTTGCCCTGCTGTAGTCACCCTTCTCTCTATAGTCTTGATCCTATGGCTGACCAGTTTGACCATACACTATCAGTTATTCCTGAATCCCTTGTCTTATCAGTAATCAAGCCTTACCATGCTCCAAACTTTGGTCACTCCCAGCATCTGCATTCTCTGGTCCCATTCATGTGCTTCTGAACCCTCCTGGGATTGGGTCCTGGTAATCCACTAACGATGACTTTTGTCACTATAAATTCATGTTATCTAATCTTGACTAGCCCCTCACTCATACTTAGCATCCTTTTATTCTTTCATTAGCTCTTTGAGGGGTTATTCCAAAACTTCTCTCAGACCTTCTAAACCACCCTTCACCCATATCTCTTAGGGAATTTTACCTCCTACTTTACTGAGAAGATGGAAGTCATCCATTTTGAGCTGTCTGTTCTCCTTCATGTATACTTCATTGTAAACTCCCCCTCCCCCAATTCTCCCCTCCTTTGCTCAAGTCTCTGATTAAGAACTGGACTTTTCTAATGCCCCCAGGTTCACTTGATTATATTTCCTTCAGTAGCTTACCCCCTTCCATAGCTTCAGTAATTGTCTTTTTTCCCCTTCATCATCAATCAGTCCTTATCTACTGGATCCTTCCCTGGTTCTTACAAATATACCTAGGTCTTCCCTATCTTTAAAAATATCTGGGACAGCTAGGTGGGTGCAGTGGATAGAGCACTGGCCCTGAAGTCAGGAGAACCTGAATTCAAATCTGGCCTCAGACACATAACACTCGACTAGCTGTGTGATTCTGGGCAAGTCATTTAACTCCAATTGCCTCACCAAAACAAACAAACAAACAAATAAATAAATAAACAAAAACATCTTCACTGTAAACCCTGACATTCCCTCAAGCTATTCTCCTATTTCTTTTACTTTCACAACCAAACCTGTGAAAGCTTGTCTACACCTATTGCCTCCATCTCCTCACCTTCCACTCACTTCTCAGTCCCTTGCAATCTATCCTCCATCCATACCCCTCAACTTCTTGAAGGTTACCAACAGTCTTTTAACTGCTAAATCTAGTGGCCTTTTGTCAGGCCACATACTTCTTGACACTTAACTGCCTTCAGTTTCTGGTTACTCTCTTCTCCTCAGCTTTTGTAGCACTGCTCTCTCTTGGTTTCCTGCCTCTTCTGTTGCTCCTCAGTCTCTTTTACTGGATTACCATACTCTTTCTGCCTAATAAGTGTGGCTATCCCCTGAAAGCTCTGTCTTGGGTCATCTTTTCTGCCCCTAACTTGGTGATCCCAAGGATTGAGTTATCATCTCAGTGCATATGACTCCCAAATCCTTCTAGCCTTGATCTCTCCCAGCCTCTAGGCCTGAATTACCAAATGCCTCCTAGGCATCTCCACTTGGATGCCCATTCTATAAGATTCTCAAACTCAAATCCAAAAAGGAACTTATTTTCTATAGAACTCATCCCTCTTCCAGATTTCTCTTTCTCTATTGAAGTCACCATCATTCTCCCAGCTGCCTAGTTTCACAATATTGGAGTCATTCTTCAATCTTGTCTCACCTAGTCAGTTGCAAATTTTGTCAATTCTAACTCTACAATATTGTTCATACCTCTTTGTCTCTCTACCCATGCAGCCTCTTTCCTAGTTTAGTTCTGCATTACCTCTCACTGAGACTCTAATATGTTTCCTGACTGATCTCTCTGTTTTTAGTCTCTCCCTACCCCAATCCATCCTCCAAAGAGCTGACAAATTAATATTCTTAAAACACAGGTCTGACTGACTATGTCAACCCCACCTCCCACCAAACCAGCATGCCCCCAACTGAAAAATCTTTAGTGATTTCCTAATGCTTCTAGGATAAACACAAAATCCTCAGTCTGGCATTTAAATCTCTCTACAGCTGGGCTCCCCCTTACATTTCCAGCTTTATTTTTACTTCCTCTTATGCAATCCCTCTTCCAGTCAAACTTGCCTGCTAGATGTTCCTAGCTGAGAGGGGAGGGAGAAGAGAACCGTTTGAGGAGGACTGAAAAGGTCTGTACAGAGTAGGGTAGTGAGTTGATAAGTAAGGTCTAGAAGGTTTGCCTAACAGCAATGAGGGCCCAGTTAAGGTTATGTAACTTAGATTTGTAGTCGACCCAGTCAGAAGGATTTTCGTCACCCTTGTTGAGCAGCATGTGTAGCAGTAAAGGTGGAGAATGGTGGGAGTGATGAAGGCTAAAGCTTGGCAGGGCATAATTGTCAGTGAAATAATAAGGGGTCTAGGGATTCAAGAAAGGAGGACAGTACATAGTTGAATTGATTCACCAAGAGGTCAAGATTAAAAAATGGCCCAAAAGAGAATGGTGGGGTAAAAGAATTGGAGGTCACAGTGCAGATCAAGAGTAGAATTTTGTAAGGGAAAGCAGAGGAGAGATGAAAAGCTTCATCTGATTATGGTTGGTTAAGGGGATTTCAGAGTTCCTGAATGTAGAGGTGGTATAGTTGTGGATAATGGCAAAATCAGATGGGAGGTCTCAATTCACTACTCTTCCCTCTAATGGTGGAAATTAGTCAGGGCATAGCTGGAGATGGAAGTTGAACCTGCTTGGAAGGAGAAAAAAATTCTGTTCACCACCAACTTTCCCTTCCCTCTTTCCTCAGAGAACAGGCACAACAGGAGATGGACAGCCTGAAATCAAAGGGAGGGTTGCTCCTCCTTTCACCTGAGCTTCTCCACATCCTAATTAGAAGATCAGGCAGGCAACAAGAGGTGGAAGATGCCTTATGCTGGCGCAGATGAAAGTCACTGCTTTGGAACAGATGGAAGGTGCCTGATGTGTCCCTTTTCTATCTTCCCTCAGGAGATAGACTGCACTCAGAAGGATATGGGAGGTACAGGAGGTCAGAGAAAGGTTCGGTACCTCTTTCCACCCGAAGAGACTGCGAATGGAGGTTATAGTGAGGATGAAGATCAGGGTTAAAGCATAGAGAAAGATGGAATCATAACATTATGTTCAATTGCGATGAGAGAAATTATAAAAGGGACTATTTGAGAGAAACCTGGAAAGACTTGTATGAATTGATAGAAGTAAGCAGAATCAGGACAACTATACACACACACACACACACACACGTATACATACACACATATATATATATATATATATGTAAAAGTATTAACAGTAAAGAGTGTAACTAATAAAGGGTATAAAGTAACAATATAATATATGTGTATATATATATATACATACATATATATATATACTAACAACATTATAAAATGAACAACTTTGAGAGACCTAAGAGCTGTGATCCATTGATCCATACAATGACCCACAATGATTCCAGAGGACTAATGATGAAGACCATTATCCACCTACTAACAGAGAAGCAGTGGACTCAATATTCAGAACAATTCATACATTTTTGGGCTTGGTCAGTGTAGGAATTAGTTTTGCTTGATCATATGTATTTGTTAAAAAGGTTTGGTTTGGTTTGGTTTTTTCCAATGGAGAGGAAATGAAAGATAAAATAAATGTTTGTTAATTTTTTAAAAAATCATTTGAAAGATTGTGATTAGATAAAGGAATTTTTAAATTCATGCATGTTGTGATGAG